AAAAAAAAAAAAAAAAAAAAGGAGATACTACCATATGCTTGAACATCGAGGACATTATGCTAAGTGAAGTCAGTCACAAAATGACAAATACTACATGATCCTACTCAGAGGAAGTACTTAATCAAAATCATAGAAATGGAAATTAGAAAGATGGTTTGCCAATGTCTATGGGGAGGGGAAGGAGTAATTAATGTTCAAAGAACACAGTTTAAGTTTTGCAAGATGAAAAAGTTCTAGAAATCTGTTGCACAGCAATGTGAATATACCTAGCATTACTGAACTATACACTTAAAAATACTTGAGATGGTGAATTTAATGTTATGTTTTTATAACCACAACTGAAAATAAAATAATTTTTAAAATACATTTGGGGCTTTTTATAACTCTCCAAAGCAGAAAGAAAAGCACTGCCCTTTTATTTCTGTACCTTAGTACCATTAACAATTCTTTTGTAGTCAAGAAGTATGGACTATGGAGAACATTTCCCACTGCCACTCAGTGACCTACCTGTAATGAAAATTCTTACCCCAGAATCATCATCTTAGATAATTTTTTAAAATCCATACTAGAAACCAATAAACTAGAATAAAGCTTGAGACAGAAAGTGAAAAGGGGAAATTTAGTGAAAAAGGAAACAAACATACTTCAATATAGCCTCTAAAGACTATAAAACTTAGGAAGCAACATATTTTGCACATCCTATCCCCAACATCATAAATACTGGTAAAGAAGGATGTCTAGGAAGAAGGTATTGAGTAATGTTGGATGTAAAATATATACATTAAAAGCAGCAGATACAAAAAAGACGGTAACCAAGGAAAGTGGGAAAGTGGGGAAGCCCTCCAAGCCCAGAACAAACAGTCACAAGTAAACGGAGCTTCAGCTAGCCTCATCAGCAAATGAGTAGTTACGTTCTTCTTTAATAAGATAACATGAGTAATTCAAGTTGCAAGAGTCATTCATCTTAACCAAAAATAATAACTGCATAGCTGCAGAGAACAACTGCTAACTAAAAGAGATTGAACCTCTTTATAGTCCGAGGAAACTTAGAAGCAAGCACCCTTCTGGATAGGGTAGGAACTAACAAACTGGAACATTTAAACAATATAATACAAAAATCAGACCTGTTACATCACTGTGACAACCAGATATCTAATGTATGCACTCCAACAAATAGCTCATAGTAATCCAGGTTCTACATTATTTAGCATATGGAAACCTACCTGATGGTGGTGAGGAGAGGAATCTGAGAGGCTATACAGCTGCTGTCAAAGATCCTGCAAAATAAAGACCAATAATAAGGTAACATTCTTGCTGTTCTTGAAATTTTTCTGAAATAACATCCGTGATTTTAAAAACTTTTCCTTGGTTCATAATATGAAATATGATTGTTATTTTAAAATATATAAGATCAGGCTCTAACAAACTTCACCTAATATATTTAACAAAAGTTACAGGGATTATAAAATTCAGTGCTTATAATTCAGTTTAGAAATAATTTATTTAAACACTATTACTCCAAACCTAAAATGTACACTTTTTTAAATCAAAGTATCATTCATATTAATATGCACATTCTAAAGTGACAATCTGGACTCTAAAACTGTATTTGGATCCACAGTAATATACATCATACATAACAGAGATGGTCTGAACACATACAAATAACCTAAAAGTGCATTTATCAAGAGCAATTTTTCCATAGGATTCATCAGTTGAGGGATTGTTAGTGTTACTTCCAGGCACTGGTGACCAGCTAGCAACCAAAAGGAGGAATTCTTGTCGGGCAGCTGGAGTCCAGGAGCTTCCACTAGGTACCCTGACAGAAAGAAACTAATTGTATCACCACTACCTACCCCCTCTTTGTGCCAAACTATTCCAATACAGTTTCTTGACACGAGAACTTATTGCCTAATTAGATTACTAGAAAGCCAAATCACTAACTGCTAATGTAACAGGGGTAAACACTGCAGTACAAATGAACAGGAATGGGACAAACAGGTAGCTCCTGAGACAAAGGAAACTATATGGGTAGGAAGGGGACACTGCACTGCCACTGCCTGGCACCTAATCTCTTAATGCACACAGACTTTACTAGAAACTAACTGATCACCTGTCACACAATGCAGACCACGCTCTTCCCAAGAGATGGGTCTAAAGAGAAATTAGGTGCCTTTCTAGAGCCTGGCCCACAGTATACATTCAACGGATACTTGTTGAATGAATAATGAATGAATTCCAAAATTATTAAAGGTAAAACTCTCATACAGTGAGAAATGCTTGCAATGTTAAGCAAAATCAGGGATTCTAGAAGAGAACAAAATCATATTCTTTTGTGGCTGCACTAACATTCTATACATCTTTTGTATTGGTATTACTTTGTATTTTTGGCTCAACTGGTTTATATTGCATTTTTAAATTCATTTTTAGGAAGTAGCTATAGAAAATACCAAAGCTGAAACCATAAAAAATCTATATTCAGTAGTTTATATAGAAGCCAAATTTTTGCTATCTTTTATGCCTGCCCATGGCCTGAGGCTCTACAACTTCCATTCAGCCCTTCACTTGTAAGGCAGACTCTATTGGCCTCAAAGTTAAGAGCTTCTCCCTGTGCTAAAAGTATCTCCTTTCCAAGATAATCACAGTATGGTATCGTTGGATTTCTGGGATTTTTCAGGGTTGAAGGGAAGCCTGACTTGGACTCCCCAGGGTAGCTACAGACCTTCCTTGCCTATCTCAAGGAAATTTGCAGACACAAAAGCTGCTGAAGAGCCATTAAGTACAGGCCATTGTACTTCAGGAACCTAGATGTGGCTACAAAACAATAAAATTAGCAATTTAATAGGAAGCGGCAGTAAACAAAGCTACTGTTTACTAACACAGTAGATACGACTCTATAGATTCCTTAAAACATATTTCTGTCTTCCTAATTTACCTCAGCTTACAATCAGCACACGTGGTCACTATTCTGTTACCAGTAAGAGGTGAAAAATAAGCAGAAGCAATGCTCTTGGTGTGTTCCGTCAAAGAGATCAAAGGCTGTCTTCCCCTGGGATTCAGGTGCCTTGCATCATAAATATGAATATCCCTGTAATAGACAGAATAATTCTCAGTGCTGCCACAGTATAGTGAGCTTCTAGATAGGGCTAAACATAAATTAGATACTTGAATACTCACTACATTCAACAGTTAAGATAGAATCCTTTCATCTTCTGTATTAATTTTACAAACATTGGTACAAACAAAAAACATTAGAAAAATTCCAAAACTACAGTACATATATGTAACCAGTGGGTATAGAGAGACAAGACTTTAGTTGGTTTTCCAATCTCTCTAAAAAATGTGTATTTGCTTCAATATTTTCACTATTAATTAAATTCAAAAGAATCTCTCATTTAAAAAAAACTAGACTCAAAAGATAAACTTCAAACGATATGAAAAGGAAAATTACTAGGCTTGTGGGTATCACAAATGTCCTTGACAACCAAACTAAAATATTATTCCTAACATTAAAAAGCCTAAATCATAAAACTTTATGAAGAACATACCTCAATCCTGCAGTGATGAAATACTGTCTATGCACTGGGTGAACATGAACAGTTCTTATTTTTCTCAAAGAAGAATTGATAAGTTTCTCATAAGAAGTTCCAGGTGTCCGTCTATCCACCAGTGACATCCTTCCATCCCAGTGACCCACTATTAAAGTGGAGGCATCTCCCGCCAAGAAGTCAAAGGAGGAAAAGCTACTTCTTTCATCTCTATATACCTAAAGATATAAGTAACAGTCAACTTACATAACACACTTCTTTTAAAGAAAGTTAATGCATAAATTCATTGGTAGAAGAATTATAAAACACTTTACCTCAATAACTTCATTTATCCTCCCATCATCCCCAGGAAGCACAGGGCAAAATAACCATTCCCTTTTACAGGAATAGAAACTAAGGCACTGATGAGCTGTGAGACTCTCTACAATCAAACTGCCCATCACCACGTCAGGGCTACATCCCAAATCTCTTAAATCCAGTACCAGCTGTAGATTTAATAGGTGAAACTGACTAAATGGACTGAATCTGAATTCTACCAAGAGGAAATATCTTAATATGCCAAGTAACTTTGCCAACAAAGTCCAAGAAATATGGCTGAATGCCCACCTACTGTTGGTAGAAGTGACAAGATAGAAATTTTTGACAGCTAATAAGCATACATCTATCAAAATATTTAATGCTTACACCCTTCAACTCAGTAATGTCACTACATAGCCTAGAAGACTAGAGAAAAACAAATTTTGTAGTTTCTGTGTTATTATACAGGCCAAAAGTTTTAGGTATAAAATAATACTGTACTATTATGTGATGAATTTCCTATTTTGTCACATCTAAGACTTATCCCCATAAAACTCACATCTGCAAAAGCTTGGAATGATGAACAAAAGTATAATAACATTCCAATATTTTTTTCCTGAATGAAAAAGAAGTACACGTCTTATGCCTAAAAACAGAGCAAATCATTTTATTTAAAAGCTCTTTGCAAAAATAAAAAATAAAAATAAGAGCAAACACTATGTGCCAGGCTCTGTCCTAAGTACTTTATTTGCATTAACTCATTTAATCCTCATGACAACTCTATAAGGTACATACTATTCCATTTCACAACTAAGAAAGTTGAGGCATAAAGAGGTTAATTAACTTGCCAAGGTCACATAAGTAGTAACAGATGGTATGGGATTTGAATTTAGAGTAATTCTAAAGTCCCTATTCTATACCATCTCACTCAATCTGATGGTATAACAACCATTCATGTGGCATTTCATAAAGGATCCAGAATATCATGAGGTTAACATGTAAGCATATTAATATTTACCTCTTCAAAAACAGATCTGGAAAAATCCCCACAACGTAATGTGCCATCATAGCTCAGTGACAGTATGTGAGCCGGATTGGCAGGTGAGAAGTAAAGACAACTGACTGGCTGACTATGGGGATGAAAAACATAAACTCCATCTTCTTTACGTTGATGAGTCTGAAAGATAGTTGGTGATGGCAGAAAGACAAAAACTAGTGAAAAGTAGTAATATTTTCTATGTCATTATGTCATTAAACTATCTCCATCTATATTATATTCAGTCTTTTCTTAGCCCATAATTTATCCACCCTTCCATTCAGAAAAGTCAGATCTAGAAACTTCATACTGTCACTAAATTGTTTCTAATTTTCAATCTAACAATATTAAGTCACATTTAACAGTTTGCAGATTTTTGCAACTAGCAAACTAGTTTTTTCATAATACAGATGGAAAGATTACTGTTTATGACTTTAGTTCATGAAATCCTCAGGAAATGAGAAATCTACTCTTTATTTCACACATAACACAATTCCTTACTACGAAAAACAGTACCAATACCATTATCACTTTGCCTCCCGAGTATACTTCTGCATATCATTCTCAGCACAATTTTCATAAGGTAACTGGCCCAGGTACAAGTGATAGTTTTTAAAATATTTTGTACCCTAAATACACCATGATAATACATGTATTTGAATCCCCACATTAATATTACTACTTCTAAGGATTATCCTTTCCACAACTAAATTACCAAATCCTAAATGATTGCTTTTCAGATTTGGATAAATTATGTTCCTATGCCATATGTCACATTATGAGCTAAATCAGCTCTAAATCTGGCTGAGTCTATTCTGAAATACTCAGGCATTTTTGTTTTCTTCCTTTTTATTTTAAACTTTGAAATAAACAGAAGAATTTTTAAAAAAAGAAGAGAAGAAAAAAGAAGGGAAAAGAAGGCAAGGGAAGGGAAAGGGGACAGAGGAAGGGAGAGAAGGGGAAGGGAAGGGAGAGAGGAAGGGAGGGAAGGAGAGTAAGAAAAGGAAAGAAAAAATTTACAATCACACACACTCCTTCTCCTACCCAGAGTTAACGACTGTTAACATCTTGGCATAATCATTTATAGTGTATATATATTTTATTTTTCTAAAGGAATTTTAGAAATTTAAATTTTATTAGTTCCAAATGAACTGACAGGTCTTGAATTATCTTGAGTTTTTTCACATGTAAAAATACCCACTTGTTGCTTTTATTTAGAAAAATAAAACTCTCCATTGTTATAAAGAACCCAAACAACACAGAAATACACAAAAGCAAAAGTTTTAAAAAATCATCCCAATCCAAAATTAACCAAAATTATCATTAAAATACTAAGTGACCATTATAGATATCTTTATATGTACTTATATAAATAGAATGACAGAGGAAATTTAGAAAAAATAAGACCATGTTATATATGCCATTTTTAATAGCATTAAATTAACCACACTTCGAATTAGTAAAAGAAAACCAAACTGAAGGAATTTTTGAACTTTGAATGTTTCTTTGCAAGATATACCTCCTAAAAAGGAAAAAGAATAAAACATAAAGCAATTGTAGTCATTACGCTTTTTCATTTTCAACTATGTCTTAATTTTAGACATTTTCTATTGATAAGAATATTATTCTCACCCTTCCTCCAATCTCCCTGATCTCCAGTTCTATATTTTCTTATATTACTATTTGTATTTTATGCAGGTTGATAACATTCACATCCAATTCTGTAATCGTAATTCATACAGCTGTTTAATATTATGCATTTAAATGGATTCAATGCTCATCACCAATTCTTTTGTCCAGCTTCTCGGTTCCTGAAATCTTAATTTGGATTTACTATTAACTGGCTAACATTTGCTACCAAGTAGTTTTTTTCCAAGTGAACTGGTAGGTCTTGAATTTCTTGAGTTTTTTCACATGTAAGAATACCTATCTGCTGCCTTTACATTAGAATAGTATCTCAGGCTGGGTAAGTATTCCAGGGCCACAATTCCCTCAAAACTTTATAGACATTACATGATATATTGCTGTAAAAAATTGAGGCAATCCTGGATTTTCCCCTTGAATATAGTTTTTTTGTGTGCTGGAAGAATTCTTTATCCTTTAGTTTCCCATTTTTCCTAGGATATAGTATACACATTCAATTTGCCAACTCAATTCCATCTTTGCAGAAAAATTCTCTGCATAGTATTTTCTTTTCCATTTATTAGGTCATCTTTGTCTTTCCTTTTCTATTTGCTTGCTCTTAAAGTTTTATTTCATCTGCTTTGAGGTGACCTTAAATATTTCCTTTAATATTGGTAATTTAATTTTCAGCAATGTCTATTGTGTTCCTTGGTTTTGTCTAATTTATTAGTTTCACCTATTTTCAATTTATTTCCATAGTTCTACAATCTCCTTTTTCATCTCATTCTGTTGCTTTAGAATATTATCTTTGAGTCTTATTTCACCAGATTTATGTTGTTATTTATTAACTTGCTCCCTAGCACTGTCTAAAAGAAATTTCAGAGATGACAAACATGTTATATGTATGCACCGTCCAATATGGTATCCACTAGTCATGTGTCGCTATTAAGCACTTAAAATATGCCTACTGTTTAACTGAGAACTGAATTTTCTATTTTAATTAAATTAAATGCAAACAATCACATATGGCTAGTCGCTTCCGTACTGAACATTGCAGGTCGACAACCTAAAGAAAAGAAACCCAGGAGAATTTCCTTCCTTTACTTGAGTTATGTTTTTTCATTTAGATTTGTCTTCACACTCTAGATCCTTTTGTTGTTTTGTGGTAGTGTTTGTCTAGTTGCCATGTCATTTTTTTTTCATTTTCATCATGTGTGAATTGTTCTGTCCATGCTAGTTGCCCTCATATAGCATATTCACTCCTCTTCCCAGTATCTGACACTAGCTTATTTTTTCCCTCAGAAAAGGACAAGCTTTTCTATGGGCAGGAAAGACAGGGCAGGGGCATGGAGGTACAGAGTTGGTTTCAGCAGAAACAGTATATAGTATTTGTTGGAATTTCTTGGACTCTGAGATTTTGTTCATTATTTTATATCAGGATTCATACCACCTACTTGGTGGGGTTGGACTAGAAGAGGTGACTTATATCACAGACCAAGAAAATATCATTTGTAAAGGGTTAGTTCTATTATTCACTTTCCCCCACTTCCCAATTTTCTCCATTTCCCACTAGCAGTAATTTCCTATTCGTCACTCATACAGAAAAAATCTCATACAGGAAGAACCAGCTTAAAACAAGTCAATGGCTTCTATTTACTTTAGGATAAAAACAGAAATTCTTAAAGGGGAGCGAAGATGGCGGCATGAGTAGAGCAGCAGAAATCTCCTCCCAAAACCATATATATTTTTGAAAATACAACAAAAACAACTCTTCCTAAAAGAGAGACCAGAAGATACAGGACAACAGCCAGACTACATCCACACCTGCGAGAACCCAGCGCCTCGCGAAGGGGGTAAGATACAAGCCCCAGCCCAGCGAGACCCGAGCACCCCTCACCCCAGCTCCGGGTGGGAGGAGAGGAGTTGGAGCGGGGAGGGAGAGGGAGCCCAGGACTGCTAAATAGCCAGCCCTAGCCATCCACACCAGAGCACAGACACACAGTGCGTGTGTGGGGTGCTAGATACTAGGGAAACAGGGCAGTAAGACCTGTGAGTGGGTCCCTGCAGCCGGCGCCCTGGGGACAAAGAAAAGCGAGTGCTTTTTGAAAGTCTTAAAGGGACAGGGACTCAACAGCTGGACGGAAGCATCCCGCGAAACAGCCCAGCAGCAGGGAATCCCAGGAAACTCCAGGCACCCTAACTCCCTGGATAGCAGGGCAGCTCAGTGGCCCCTCATGGAGATAAACAGCCTCCCGGCCATTTCCCCGCCGACGTGGCTCGGCCATATCGGAGCAGCAGCCTGAGGCAGGCCATGCCCAGGGTAACAGCGGAGATAAACTCCATAGCAGCTGGGCAAGAATCAGAAGCCCCATCTGCGCGCAGCTGCCCAGCACAAGCCACTAGAGGTCGCTGTTCTCCCAGGAGAGAAAGGCCACAAACCAACAAGAAGGGATGTTCTCCCAGCCATCACTTGTGCCAGCTCCACAAACAATCTTTATCGCCATGAAAAGGCAGAATTTGAGATAGACAAAGATGACAGAGTCAACCCCTGAGAAGGAGATAGACCTAAACAGTCTTCCTGAAAAACAAATCAAAATAAAAATCATAAACATGCTGACGGAGATGCAGAGAAATCTACAGAGATAGGGATGACATCCAGAGGGAGATTACAGAAGTCAAACAATCTTTGTAAGCATTTACAAGCAGAATGGATAAGATGCAAGAGGCCATTGATGGAATAGAAACCAGAGAAGAGGAACGCATAGAAGCTGACACAGAGAGAGATAAAAGGATCTCAAGGAATGAAACAATATTAAGAGAATTGTGTGACCAATCCAAAAGGAACAATATCAGCATTATAGGGGTACGAGAAGAAGAAGAGAGAGAAAAAGGGATAGAAAGTATCTTTGAAGAAATAATTGCTGAAAACTTACCCAAACTGGGGAGGAAATAATCAATCAGACCACAGAAGTACACAGAACTCCCAACAGAAAGGACCCAAGGAGGACAACACCAAGACACATAATAATTAAAATGGCAAAGATCAAGGACAAGGACAGAGTTTTAAAGACAGC